GTTTTCTTAGAAATGCTGAACATGTTGAGCACTATTTCTCTAAACTATCATCTATTATGAAATATATTGAAGAAAACACACTTACTATAGTACTATTAAATAAAATACATACTTGTGTGGAAATTATCTGAATGATCTACTTTACATACAGTTAGTTACTTGGTTACTTCAACATTTTGTGCAGGTTTCTCAGTTTTAATTCAAATAAGATGCTTTGTAAAATTGTGCTTTAATTTTTCAGTTGATTTATAAGTTACAATACATAGCAGTGAATAGTGACAGATAGTTAAATATAATTTAAAAATAAAATAATTTAATTCAATTCTGCTAAAGTATTTAAACATGTGATTTAAAAGTTAACACACCTTTACCTCAGACTATTAGTTTTTGTAAAGTAGTATGTAGTGGTTAAATTATGATTTTGAAAGAGGTGAAACTTTTAGTGATCCACTCAGATATTCCAATAAGATCAGGAATGCTAATGGCTTGAATCCTTAAGAGGTTAAACTCCATTCTTGGACTGTTATGCCCAAATTTATCCCCTGGTGGTATAATCTTTATATTTTTGTGCTACACTTGGAAGTTGAGATATAAACTGTTTTTAATACCTTTATGTATATAATTATAAATTTGTTAACCCTATTTATTATAAATGGCAATAGTACAGCAATCATAATAGCTGAAATCTAATTATATTTGACGTATCATTACACATTGAAGCACAGAAGTTGGTGAAATAAAACACACACACATAATCAAGATAAAAGCCAACTTACAACTTACATATTTGATATTACTTGTTGTTAGCATGAAAAAGATTAAAGAAGACATTAAAAACAGATGTACCTCTAAAATGCATTGAGTTGTTTGTGAGGCACAAAGGTTATATAAAAATTTTTTAGACTATAAACTTAAACACAATATTTAAATAATTCAATGAATTTTAATTTTTTAGTCTTCGCAACATACAAATCAACTTAACCTTGGATGATTGTGAAATTGTATTATTGCATGTTAAATGAAATTGTACTTGGATATGATCTGTCTACCCTTTGCATTTATTAGAAATTTGTTAACACCATTCATAGGATATTTTGTTAGTAACAATAGAACATAACTTGATAACTTTTTACTATGGTGATTTAAGATAACAATTAAAGATGATGTGTTTTCAGAGGCCCATTTTTTTTGTTTTCTTGAGTAGTAGTTTCTGTAAGTCAATAACTTACTTGAAAAATACAAGTTTAAACAACCTGTTAAACTGTAGAATACATGAAAATTAACAGTCATTAAAAATTTTAGTTTACAATTTTATTTACATCTTTAACACACAACAAGTGAGTTTGATATTTAACGTTATTTGATTTGCACTTTTTCTGTAAGTACTTATATAACAATTGTAGGCTTCATTCAAGCTTTAAGAAACAATTGAAGAATGCTAATTGTACATGAATTTATATTACTTTAAAATAAAGTTAGTAAACGGTGAAGCTTAAAAATGTTCCAGAATTTATAGCCACGTCTTCAATTTTGTGCTAATAACTTTTCTTTTTGTATCACAAAATTTTTTATATTATATGTTACTAAAAACAGATGCAATTAAGTGTCATTAAGTTATAATAAATTACTTGGGAGAATATGACATTTTCCTACATAAGTTTTTGTCATATGAAAACTAAGTTTTATTGTTTATTGTTAAAGTTTAGCATATAGCACAAGACTCTCTAAAGAAGTATTATTTTTACTACTGTTTAATTAGAAGATCATAAATTAACCATTCACACATCAATACAAGACAGTGTTTATGAACATAATGTGTATAAGCTCGGAAGTTTTTGAGTATGACTAATGTTCTCACCAGTCCCTTCAGCAGCAAGTAAAGTTGAAAGCAGTCTTTATAATTATGAACCTTTGTCATTTGTTTCTAGGAATATGAAATTTTATAGCTTTAAAAGGTTGTACCTTAGGAGAGACATTTCAGATTTTGTAAAATAAAGTATCTAGTTAAAATCTGGACATTTATTTCAAGAGCTTTTAAAGAAAAATAATAATATGAAAAATACTTTGCAAAAAGTATGTTCTTATAAGAAATCTTTATGATTGATTCATAAACATTATGTAAACCCCAATTTTTTAATAGATATAATAGCAATGAAATCAAAATGTTTCAGTATCATAGTTTTCAATGAAGATCATGTTTCTTGCTCTCAGTTACATCAATATTTAAAATTAACCTTTTCCATGCCAAATGTAGTGATGGTTATTGCCCATTTCAACATTAAACTAAAGTTTCATATTTTAAACCTCTTTTGAGAAAGTGATAATATACTGATAAAATTATCTAAATCAGAATTCACAGGTTATCAATTGGGGACACCTTTTTGACAAAATGAACAAGTCAAGATTTCCTATTTGTCAGGTAGTTAAAAACCAACAGAAAATAAATACCTTTCTAGAAGAAATTCCAGTATAATAATACAGTTTAACACATGCAACTTGTTTTTAAGCTCTCTAGAAATTATAAAATAAACAAATGAAAATGCTTTCTCTGTAAAACAAACAGTGAAGCGGTTGAGAAGAGGAAGCAACTTTCTTTGAATCTATACATCAAGCAGAGTTGTACATCTGTTTGGTGTCGTAACACCACAAGTTGTAAGGATAAAGAGACTGAATTTGGTACAGGAATTCAATTGGCCTCTAAAAGACCATCTTTAAATAGATAAGCAGTCAAACAAACAGTGAAGAGGTTGAGAAGAGGAAGCAACTTTCTTTGAATCTATACATAAAGCAGAGTTGTACATCTGTTTGGTGTCGTAACATCACAAGTTGTAAGGATAAAGTGACTGAATTTGGTACAGGAATTCAATTGGCCTCTAAAAGACCATCTTTAAATAGATAAGCAGTCAAACAAACAGTGAAGAGGTTGAGAAGAGGAAGCAACTTTCTTTGAATCTATACATCAAGCAGAGTTGTACATCTGTTTGGTGTCGTAACACCACAAGTTGTAAGGATAAAGTGACTGAATTTGGTACAGGAATTCAATATGCCTCTAAAAGACCATCTTTAAATAGATAAGCAGCCAAACAAACAGTTTATGTGCTATCACCAGTTAAATTTCCCCCTCCCTATTGCTAAAGCCTTGGTGCCTACTTTCCAAACTTAGCTGTATTCATGTCATCTCCTTAAATCAGTGAAATAAATGCAGTGTGTGGTGTAGCTACATTTTCTATCTATCTGTACAAAACAGAGTTAGTTATATGTCTGGTGTCCTTATGTCACAAGCTGTGAGAAACTGACTACACCAAATTTGATGAAATTTTGTAGAAGAAACATCCCAGATATTGAGTTTAAATGGATGAGTCACTGGTTTGAGTTTTTGCAGCCATATACATGTTTATTAGATGAATCTAATGCTAAAGAAAAGTTATACTTACTGGTGCTTGTAGCACAGGTATACCTAGCTGATTAATCATATTTGGTTGACCTGCATAAAAAATGATACACACATCATAGTCAACTACATAAATATTGCATGAGGTGATGGGTGTTAGTGTATTAATAGTTTTAAAAAATATTTCTAAGAGGTATACAGTTATATCTTGCCATTCAAATAGGATAGGTTGTAGAAATTGCCATGAATGTTAAAACCGTGAATATTATTAGTAAAATAGGTAGCAGTGAGAGAGAAAGGTTACATGGGAGAAGCTACAAAGAAATACCATGGTTGAACAAAGACTGAGAACACAGATGTGCAGTGCAGCACAATGCAAGCCTCGTGCTAGTTTTGGGAGTGGACTGTGGCTGCACCATGAGTACTTGAAACCATGAATGACAAGGGATAACTGTATTGCATCTTCTCAACTGTTGCAACCTACAAATTGAAAACACCTGTTCTGTATTATAAGATCAATTGTTATTGTATTAAAGTAACATACTTTATTTTATAACTAAAATAGTGTTGTTTCACCTCAACTGTTCATACACATTTATTCTACTTACAAGAATAATAACTGTTCATATATACTTATTCTACTTATAAAAACAACTGTTCATACACACTTATTGTACTTACAATAACGATATTTATGGGATTCTGGATACTGGTGACATTTCATATTCCATGCTGAGACATCTGATTGAATTAGGTGATAACTTCAGAAGAGAAGAAGGCCTTAGCATGGCATCTGAAAAATATTCGTTGTCGGGAATCCTGACATAGTTGTCCATAAATATTATTCCTGTGTTTACATCACTGCTTTAATTATACCATAAAGCATTACCACTTACTTTGATTTCTTCAGCTAACCACTCTTTCTATTCTGTTCTGTATTTCAGAATTTTTTTTCATTATTAATTTAAATTCATAGAGAGCTCATGGTTGGAACACTTCCCTTTCTCTCATTTTTTTTATTACTTAACATCTAGCATATTAAGAAGTATATTCACCCCAGTTAGACACCTTGATAACATCGTTTCCAACTTATTTTGAGGCCAACTTTGCAAATTTTACTGTTGTAAGTAATAGTATTTCAGTAGTTTGATAGAAATTTCATTTCTAATAATGGTAGACTAAACAACTCTATAATGCAGTGATGTTTTGTATTTGTTTCTAATTACCATAGGGTGATTTTCACTGCTACAT